AGGACATTCGTTCGAACTGGAATGGAAACGATCAGCATGGGCCCTGCGTGAGGATGACACACATCAATCAAGAAAGAGTCGAAATTAAACCAAAAAAAACACGCAAACGAGAAGATGTATGTGATCCGTGCAGTCAACGCAAGGAGAGAAGACTTCAGTGTAGGAAAGAGTTAAGGAAAATGGAGAGAGGAGGTGACGGCAACGGGGGAGAGAGGGGGAGGAAAACAAGAGATGAAATTTTGAAGAAGAGAGCTTCCTCCTACTTAGTACGTATGACCAACGGGCCTAGCTCGTTGCTAAACCCATGAACTGTTGAAATGCAGACCTGAGTTCGAGCCCAGATGGAACTATAGATGGACGTTAAAACAGGAAAGAAAGGGGGAGGGGAGAAGAAAGCTTACACAGTAGTTATGCAATATAACCAACAAACTGGTATATAGATGGATAAGAACATACGACAACATCAGGTCCAGATGCATTTGGATATAAGGGCCGCACCAAGCATCTCTCCATCTCACCTCGTCCTCTGCCAGGATTGCCTCAACATCATAGTAATCCGCCATGACACGCCCACACCGTTCTCTCCTCCCTTCAACCCCCTCCCTTGTCTCCCTCTCTCCCGTCAGATCCGAACATTGATCAACGCTGATTTAGCGGCGGGCAATTGTTGCACCTGCTTTGCCTGGTGGAGCAAGAACAGGCAGAAATAGGGGGCAGGGAAGAAATAAGGGGGGGGGGGGGAAGAAAGAGGGGCGTGGGAGAAAGCCAACTGACAAGTGCAGAGAGAAAGAAAAAGAGAGGGAGGTGGAACTGGAGAGAAAAAGAAACAAACGTTCAACGACTTCTGAACAGAAACAGGGAGAAGAAATAAACTCACAATCAAGAGAGAAAGAGAAAGAGAGAGGGAGGTGCGATTAGTTAGAGAGAGAAAGAGACGATAGTTCAACAACAAATTGAACAGAAAATAAGGAGGATGAACAACTAGAACTCACAGTGCAGAGAGAAAGAGACAGAGAAAGCGATGGAGGTGGCAGTGGAAAGAAAAAGAGAGAAGTGACAGTGCACAGAGAAAGAGAGAGAGAGAGAGAGGGAGGTGGTAACTGGAAAGAAAAAGACACAATCGTTCAACAAGAGTTGACCAGAAATAGGGAGAAGCAAGAGAACTCATAATGGAGAGAGAAAGGAAGAGAGGGAGGCGGAAGTGGAGAGAAAAAAGAGAGAAGAAAGAGAAGTGAAAGTGCACAGAGAAAGAGAGAGAGAGAGAGGGAGATGGTAATTGGAGAGAAAAAGAAACAATAGTTCAACAACAATTGAACACAACACAATTAAAACCCTTTTTGCAACAATTGCACCTGTTTGCCTGGTGCGCAAGAACAGGCAGAAATATTGGGGGGGGGGAAGAAAGAGCACTCACGGTGCAGAGAGTAAGAGACGGAAGGAATGGAGGATGGGGACTGGAGAGGAAAAGAAACAGTTACTTCCACACCAATTTTTCATCTTCTTTTCTTTCGGACTTCCACAACAATTAAACGCAATTACTCCGTCGATGCATCTATTTTACGGCATGCGGAAAGTTCGTAAGAGGTTGAATTATCAATTTTGTGGAATTTCACAGACATGAATGATCAATTTCACTGAAAACTCTCAATTTTCTTCGCAGACAATTTATTTTCAAATTCACAATTAAAAAAAATCCAAAATCGCGGAATAGAATGATCAGCTAACCGAACAACTCCCAGGAATCTGCTGAAACGCCGAGTCAGTTTCCCTATAACCCTGAGAACTACGTTACCAGGGTGGACGTCCAGGACCCCCCTGGATGTCCGAGGTGTCCGGTCGGACAACTCCCGGGGTGGTCCGCCCAGGAGAACTCGTCCGACCCCCTAAAAAAAAATAGGGGGGGCGGAGTACAAGACAATGTGCGGGCCTGGGGGGGTTGTGCGGCCGGCGGGGATGCAGATCGTTGGGCGCGATATTTCTTCCGAGGCCGGCAGGGCCTCGAAAACCCAAAAAAAAAAACGGCCCGATCTGGACCGTCAGATCATGAAGATCGACGGGCCCAGATCGGGACGATTTTCTAATTCGAAACGGGGGTCATCGCAGGGCGCCTCGCACCAGAAGTGGGCGGGGACATTCTCGACGTGTTGCCCCTTGTCGAGCCCCGCGACCATCGCCATAGCCCCGTTCCAGACGTCTACGAGGTACGTCTCATCATCGTCCCCCTCCTCCTCCTCCTCTTCGTCTTTCTCCTCTTCTTTGTCTTTTTCTTCCTCGAACTCTTCGTAGGGGGGTTTCCTGAACTTTCCTCTTTTTCTCTTCTTCTTCTCCTCCTCCTCCGCCGCTGCTGCCTCCATCGCGCCTCACGCCAAAACAGAAAAGGAAAAGCTATGTCTCCTTTTTTTATTTTTTATTTTTTTGTCGTACTACGTTTTTTGGGGACACAGAGGAGGAGGAGGAGGAGGAGGAGGAGGAGGAGGAGTCGAAGAGGATGAGGACAACGTCGTCATGGCGGAGGAGGAGGAAGAGGAGGAGGGTGGTGTAGTCGTCGAAGAGGTGGACGAAAAGGCAAGGGCGTAGAAGAGGGCAGAGGGCTGTGGCGGAGGAGGAGGAGGAGGAGGAGGAGGAGGAGGACAGTGGCGAAGTCATAGAAGAGGGCCGCCCTTTTGTTTTTCCAATGTTTTTTCTTTAATCAATTAATCAATCAATCAATCTGTATGTTAGACCTTCCACCGCTGTACATCATCAATGCTGTTTTCTTTTTTTTCTTTTTTTTTTTGGGGGGGGGGAGGGGGATTTTCTCCGTTTATGAGTGTCATGCTTGCACAGGGGCCATGCTAATCTTCTCTCTGTGTCTAACGGATGTCCCTAAGGACTCAATGCTCTTGTTCCTCCACCTACGTCCTAGTGCATATTTGAGAAGGCAGAGGCATGGCAGACACAGAAGAGAGAGAGAGAGAGAGAGAGAGAGAGAGAGATATTGTACATATGTGAAGGCAGAGGCATGGCAGACACACAGAGAGAGAGAGAGATCTTGTACATGTGTGAAGGCAGAGGCATGGCAGACACAGAGAGAGAGAGAGAGAGATCTTGGTTGCTGGGTCCTGACCATTAGTCGAAGAATATTACCGTGTCTCTGTCGCAGAATTTGAAGATGGCTCTACCCGACCGTGTCTCTGTCGCAGAAACTAAAGATGGCTCTACCCAACCGTGCGGTGTGCTCTTTTGGTTGATACGTGATGCTGCAGTGAGTGCTACTTATACCCAGTGAACACGATGACGGCGGGTGCTAATATGACCGGTTGGGGTTGCAAAAAAAATTGTAACTCCCACACAAAATATAACTCTAATTCCGCAAAATTGACTGCCGTCATGGCAAAAAAAAATATATATTACCACGAATTTGAAAAAAATCGCTCGCACGAATTGAGCCCAACGTACAGTTTGGCCAAAGTGAAAAAAAAAAAAAAAAACTTCGTGACTCCCCGCGAAATTGACTGGCGCCATGGCAATTCGAAAATTTCTTACCACAAATTTGCAAAATCGCGCGCGCAATTTGAGCGCCCAAGGTCCGTTCTGGACAAAGTGGGGCCGGGCGCGGTTGCAAATCATCACCGTGAAATTGACTGCCAACATGGCAAATTAATAGAAAGATCCTACCACGAATTTGAAAAGTCGCTAGACTCAAAAAAAAAAAAAAAAAAAAGTCCCTAGAGCAAATTGAGCGCCAAGATCCGTTTTGGACAAACAGGCGACATGGCAAATTCGAAAGATCTCACCCCGAATTTGAAAAATCGCTAGAGCAAATTGAGCGCCAAGATCCATTTTGGACAAAGCAGCGCCGATCCGCAGGGTTGCGAAACTCGTGACTCCCCTGCGAAATTCGAAAAATCTTACCGCAAATTTGCAAAATCTTACCGCAAATTCGAAAAATCTTACCGCAAATTTGAAAAACTGTTGGCGCGGTTCAAGCGCCAAGGTCTCCATTTCGCACCAAGGGTTTCGAAATCGCGGCGGCCTACCCGTAACTGGAACGAGTGCAGCATGAAAACGCGGCAGCACACCGCAAAATAGAAAATAGTAGATATCTAACAAAGGAGTAAAACCTCTTTTATTTGTTTGTTGTTTTTTAACAGCAGGTGTTTGTTTTCATGATGGCAAGGGGGTGTTCTCCCCCTTTATTTGAATACGCACCCAAGGCTTTAATTGTGATTACTTTTGTGGGAGCTAGCTATGACATCCTGTTTTGCAGCGACTACAGGAATTTTACAAAATGATTTAAAAACTAGGCTACCAGCCGGGCCGCCCGGGTCCCCGGTGGCCAGCCCGTGCAAGGACCAGGGAAGGCCCCAAAAAAAAAAAAAAAATCCAAAAAAAAAAAAAAAACTATGTTATGCAGAAAAATAAACTGAACAACTTTTGCCTCAGGGTCACATCGAAATTATTCACCAAATTTAGAATAAAAAATAAAATTTGGAAATATTTATTTTATTTTTATTATTTTGATTTTTTTTGGCCCGGCCGGGCAAGTGACCCCAGGCCACTCTGGTAGCCTAGTTTAAAAAGGGTTATTGCTTATTCCGACATAAATCAGGATGGTTGAAAAAATACACACCACCCATGTCTACATACTATTTCGAAGAAGAGACAGGATTGTAACAATCTGACAAGTTTTTTTTTTTTTTTTTGGATTTTTTTTTCCTTTTTTTTTGAGGAAGGGCGGGGGGGAGGAGGAGGGGATTTGGACAATTTCATGATGCGTGTGTGTCGTCCTTGAAATGTGCAGGGGCCGTGCTAATCTCTCTGCATGCTAATCTTTCTGCACGCTAATCTCTCTGCATCGTTCCAATTTTTTTTATTTTTTATCTTTTTTTTGTGGTCCGATGGACCACGGATCAGATATTAAACTGATCAGAACAGATACTACACTTGATCTTAGCCAAAAGGCCGAGAAAGGTATTTGTTCCAACGGATGTACAACAGGAAAGCAAATTTGTTCTACAAAAAGAAAAGAGAAAAACATTTTTTTTTTCTACACGCTACTTAACAAATGAGATGTGCAGAAGAGGAGAAAAAATGCCGCCGCCTCCTCCTCTTCCTCCTCCTCCCTCCTGGGCTATCGCCCTCTTCCTTTCCCTGAATAGAACACAACATACGGTCATTATCTAGACTGCACGTTGCCCCAAATACGGCTATAATTCCCATAGGTTCTTTTTTTTTTTTCTTTTTTCTTTTTTAATTCCCATACGTTCTATTCCGTGAAGGCGCTTGATTTCTCCCTCGCCCTGGCAGCCATAGCCATAATTACCATGCGTTTTATTCGGGGAAGACGGCTATGACTGCAATGCGCTAGATATAGCAATAATTACCATGCGTTCTATTTGGTGCCAGACAGACGGCAGACATTCGTCCTCGCTACCGCCGTTTTTTCGTTCTGACATGAAAAGGCGGAAAGGTTCAGAATGAGCAAAAAAAAAACACCCATCCTTTGTGCAGAGAGAAAATGGGAAACGTAAAAAATTATAATAATAATAATAACAATAATAATAATAATAATAATAAAGGGAACATCCGTTAAAATTAGAGCCATACAGATGTAACGCGAAGGGGTGTCGTTTGGGACATCCG